CTCCACATGCACACCTGTGCACACATACGTAAACATGCACACCTACGTGCACACATAAACACATTCATGCAAACATGCACATACAATACATATGCACACATGTATCTACTCGTGTGCACACAGGCACGCCTCCACATGCACACACTTTCATGCACATGCATTCACATGTTCACACCCAGGCACACACACATACACCTGCACACACAACACACATGCACTTAAGGACCTTCACATGACACACAGCTGCTTCTGCTGTTAACTTTTTCATCAAGTATTATGACAAAATGATAACAGTTTATTTTGTCTTTTTATGTGTCCTTAAAGTTCACATGAATGTTGGAAAATTAGAAACGTATATATCATTTTAGGGAAGGGAAAACAAGCCTTAATAAGTCAGAAAATTCATTGTAACATCATAAACAAATAGAAAAAATTGAGAATACCTTCACCACTAAGACATTTTCCCTAAAGGAATTAAATTATTTGTATAAATAGCCTCTTGGTATTTGTGTATTATTTAATTGTAACAGATCACATTTTTTTTTACATGCAGCATCTTTGATGCTAGTACCAAAAATGGATTTTCTTGATTTTTTTCATTATTATGTCAAAACGTACAGCTAGATCTAATAAAAAAACAATTAAAACAATTTGTTGTCATGCTGACATATTTATAAGAAGGCATTTGCAGAGGCTATACCATAACATGGCTCTCCCTCAAAGTCACCTCTGGTTCTAAATATTTCATTTGAATTTACAAAAATGAAAGCCAAAGTTTGATTTTTTCAGTCATATACTCTATGAGTCACATGTTTTTACAACCAAAAGTAGGAGCACCTTTTAACATTCATATTTAATATTTACAAAAACCAAATTGCAGCTTGTTTATGTTTCTTGAGGAAAAGAAACTACATGTGTGAAGACTGGCCAGGTAGTGAAAGCGGCGGAGTCACCAGACGGGCAGTAGGGGCGGTGCTCAGGACAACCGGGCTCTCTTCCGCAGCGTGAGCACTCGCGCAGTGTCACTTGGCTTCACTTTCTTAGGTCCTTGCTGGGATCTTCCTGTGTCCCTCTGACTTGTCCTCTTTTGTCCTTTGGGTCTGAGGTCACACGGAGCCTCCTGGCCTTCTGTGGAGCTGAGAGTGGATGTGTCTTGCAGGCTGGCAGCCTCCTGGCCTGTGGGCTCCCCATCGCCCACCTGGCCATTCCCTGGGCTGTAGGCTGCTAGCTGGCATAGGGCCACAGCTGCTGTTTGCTTCTGCTCCTCGATGCTGTCTGCTGTGGGTGTGTCTGGGGCCTGGTGTGTAGAGCTGGTTGATAGGGCCTCATTAGCACCCAGAGTGCCTTGCTTTGTCTCAGTGTGGCTTCCATCTCCAGAAGTTTCTGTTTCGGTTTCTTGAGCAGCAGCAGCCAGGTCTGCACCTGGTGGTTGCGTGGGGACAGCAGGCCTTGCGGCTGGGGCGTTGCAGGGGTCCCTCACTGACAGGTTGAGAGGCAGGTCCTGCAGCTCTGCGAAGCCTGTGGGTGCCACTGGGGAGCTGCCTTGGTACACTGGTCCTTTAGCGGCTACCAGTTTTGTCTCTGGCTTCTTGGAGAGGTTGAGGGGGCCCATCCTGGAGCTGTCCTCTGGACTGGAAGGTGAGACCTCGGCAAGGAGAGAGGCACTACCTGTTTGCTTGAGAGTGTCTCCATCCATAGCGCAGAGGCTGGAAGAGAGACCAGGAGAAGGCTTAGCAGGAGCTTTTTCAGAAAAGTGACCACATAAAGCATTTTGAGCAAGTACAAATGTAGCTAATTGAACCTAACCCAGAAATTACCTTGGAGGTTTTAGAAAGGAAATTTTCTCACCTTTTTGGAGACCTGGCTCTTCTTGTGGGAGCCTGGGCACCATGTGGGTCTTCTGTGCTCTTCTTGATGGGCTTGAAGGCAGTGGGGCTTTGTTCAGGCTGGCAGAGTCTCTCCAGGGTGCTTGGGGCTGCCCTGTTGGAGAGGTCGCACAGGCCCTCGCACACTTGATGTGTCTGTGTGAAGTTGGTGGGACTCGGCCTGCCTGGGGAGCCTGTGGCTGCGCTCCCTGCACGGGGGCTCATCTTGGCCCCCTCTGTGTCCTTCTGCCCAGCTTTGGGAGGGTCTTTTGTCTCAGAGATTAGACTTTCTTTTTCAAGTTCTGTGTGTTTTTTGTGGGAGTTCAAAGGGTTTAACTTGGAAGGACTTGAGGCTAGGTAGACCGGGGGGGCTTCATCAAGTGAGTGGGAGCTTTGGTCTCGGGTGAGGCCAGTGGTGGGTGGGAGTCTGAGACCATAAGAGGAGAAGGCAGACTCTGGCCTATATAGTCCATAAGGAATTGGAAGGCTGGAGTGATACTGCTGGAGAAATCTGTAGTGGTCATACGTGGACAGAGGTGGGTTCAGGTGCTTAGGGGGTGGGCCCGGGGCAGGTAGGAAGTGTCTTTGGTCCTGTGCGCTATAGAGCGACAGCAGGGGTGTGTCACACTCGGGCGAGCTAGTAGCCAGCAGGTAGGGTGAGTAGATGGTGGCCAGCCCATGCTCAGTGTAAAAGTGAGGTGGATACTCTGGGATTGTGGGGTGCACATAAGGGGAAAGGGCCCCAAACCCCTTTGTTGATGAGATTTTAGGTGGAAACTCTGGAGGGAGGAAAGGGGAGCCGGCTTTCCAGGGGTAGCCAGGAGGATGGAACGCAGACTCAGTGTGAAAGGAGGTGGCCTTGGCAGTGGAGTTGGTCAGTGCCAGTAGCTCAGTTGCCTCTGCACTTTCTGGCCCCTTAAGTCTGTGCTCTCCGACCGGGATAAATGCTGATGGGCGAACCACGCCTTCCAGAGCAGGCTGGGCACTGTGGGCGGCTTCTGGAGCTGGACTTGTGGGCGCCGTTTCCTTGTGGAGTGTGGGCTTCTGTCCTGGGCCCTTGTGGGCCCCCCGAGTCTGCAGCTCCAGGTTCTCCTTGACGTCTTCCTTGGCCATGCCATGTTGAGGCTTTGAGTCAAAGTTGGAGCGTCCGTTTGCACCAGCCCTGGAGGCCAGCTGAGCTGTGGGGCCTGGCTGGCTGGTTTGTTTAGGGTCGGTTGAGCTTGATTTAGGGCACTTGGGAACTCGGTCTTGCTCTGACACTAGCGTGATGGAGTTTTTGCAGAGACCGTACTTCATGTGGTTGAAGAGGTGTGACTTCTCGTTGCATGTAAAGGGACACTGGAAACATTTGTACTTGAAGGGCTTTCCTGGAGGCCGTGGGATGTAATGTGGCTTTTTTGGCTTTCGCTCTTTGAGAAGACTCATTTTACCACTTTGTATTTTGGACTCTGGTTTTCCACGTGGTATGACCACTGTTGACTCCTGTTCAACTCAGTCTTGGTGGTGATTTTAAAGAAACGAATCCCAGTTTTTCTAAGCACTGTTCAGCGTTAGCTCCGTGTGCTGAAGGTCTGGCAAGGAGAGTCTCCTGCATTAGGCGGCGGGAGCTGCAACGAGGACAAATATGGAGTCAGGGGTGCGGGAAAAGCTGGTCTGAGCTCACATCGCAGCACAGACGGGCACAGGGCACACCTATCTCTACCCCACCTGTGCCTAAAGGATGTAGTGGCAAGCCCCTAGAACTGCCCCCATGATGTTTTCTGTTTTTCTGAGTCTGACCTGAAAGAATTGCCTGGCCCAAGAGAAGTGTGGTGTGTGGAAGCCTCTGTATCAAGCCCGAGAATGCCTGTTACTCATTGAGTTTGGGGGACTTTGATCCTATATCTGCACCTTTCCTCCAGAGTCCCTTGTGTCCCTGGTGCCCTTTATGAGGAGGTCTCACCCTAGTGCTGCCACCAGGCTGTGCCTTTAGCACGGCCTGTAGGCTTGGTCACCACGGAAGTCACACACTCGCAGCAGCGACAGCGTGACTGGGCCCTCAGTCAAATGCTCTGTGGCTCTGCCCATGTTGGCCACATGCTCTGCAAATAGGTGTGTAGTGATGAAAGCATCGCCAGACACCTGCGACATGGCCCTACGTTCATAGAAGCATCAGTGAAGTCAACTCTGTCAAGTAGCATTTGTGTTTTCTCAGATACAAATATAAATGCTGTGCTTATGTTGACACAAATGGTTTGAAATGCTGCCAGGCGAGTTTGTAAGCCCCATGGGTGCCATGCTGCTGTCCTCTGCACCCCTTGGTGATGTTGTAGGTCAGCCCTTGAGTGTACCCCAGCCTGCCACCGAGGCAGCAAAGCCAGCAGCGGCCTGCCTTCCCGGGTGTACCTCCAGGTGGCAGGGCTGAAGCTTTGCAATGTGGTGGCCCACAGGAGACCAGGGTGTGAGTGGTGCTTGGCACAGATGTGGCTGGGTAATGGGGCCTGCTGTCCCAGCCTTTGCCCTTCAGAAAGTGGGCCCAGGCACCTGCTCATGCTCTCACAATGCAGGGCCTGCCAGGGCCTATGAATATGTCTGGCCTGCCCTTTTAGACATTCCCAGAGGGTCTCCCTCTCTCCTTCTCAGTCCAAGGTTTCCTTTTGAGGTTGTTGTGGGCACCCTGAGTGTTCCCTCTGTCTCCTAATCTAGAGTTGAGGACCAGAGCCTGAGTCTAGGAGGCTCTTGACAGTGCCCAGGTGATGGACTGAGTGGCAAGAGGGGGTGTGGGCAGGGGTCTGGGCAGCCATGGACTGCCTGAGATAAGATATGGGGGCTGGGCAGCCATAGACTGAGGAGGAAGAGGGCTTTGCGGGCAGAGGGCTGGGCTTCAGTGCCATGGATCATGGCTAGGCACTTTAATTCATGTAAAAAATGTAAAGAGGAAAAGGTCTTTCAGATGGTTTAAAAATAAGAGTTAAATGGAAATGATTTAAGAAAGCAGTTTTTAGCTCCAATTTTTGTTTTAAGTAATGAGCGAATGTGATCGGTCCTGAGTCTCTGTGAGACCTACATATGAAACAACTCCTTATAGACATAGGGGTAGATTAAACATTCAACTGAAAAGCAGACTTTTAAACAGGAACATGTATGGGAACTCTTAAGAGGCTGTTGTCACAAAACAAAATGTCGTCACCCTCACCCACGTCCCCGTCCCTCCCACACTCCTGACCCAGATGAGGTCATGCAGAGCAGCTGCAGGAGCAGGGCCTGGATTTTCACATGGATGCCTCAAATTCTGAGAAAGCCACCTGGTTCTCTCCCAGCAGACTGGTTTCTCTGCTCACATATTCATATTTCCTAAAAGCACAGAGAATCACACTCTTCCCCACCAGTGGCCTCTGTTGGCATGTAGGTTCTTCAAGGCATTTCTTGGCTAAGCAGGAGTGTGGGCAGAAAAGAGGGCTCTGCTGGGACCTACAGCTGCTGCCGTGGTCAGAGCTCCCATGTAGCACTGATGGTGAAGCACGCATTTTGGGTGAAAAATAAGATGTTTGGTTGCCCCTTCATCTGGGAGGGTGTCAGGTAGACAGAGCTCCACCTGCTGAGTCAGGGCAGGTGACCTGGGTCGGGGAACCAGTGCCCTGCAGCACCCCCACCGAGTACTACTGCAGAGGCCACAGGCCCTGGGTCAGAGCCAGGCAGCCTGAGCATGCATTAATAGCTTTGTCTCTCCACTTCCCCATTGTTAAAAGAAAAAGTGCGAAATAATTCTTTATGGGTTCAGGCATTGCCTAGGGGCAGATGTCCCCTGAGTGGTGAAAGCACAGCTGTCCTGCCTCCCTTCAGGAAGTGAGAGGAGCGGGCGCCTGATCCCAGTGGAGGGCTAGCCCAGCCGGCTAAGTCAGCTGGGCCTGTGCGGGCATGTCGCGCCCTGCTGCCTGGTTCTGAAGGCGTGAGAACCTCAGCAAGCCAGGTTCCCAGGATCGTGTAGGATATGTCATGGCAGAGATCTGAAAACTGATGATCCCATCACTAGCTGGAAGCATCATGATCAAAATGATGACAGTTGCAAAACATGTATCAAGTGAGAGCTACATCCTAGCGAAACCAAGTGTGGATGCAGGACGCCACCTCCCCATGAGACAGAGGTAGGGGAGGGGGGAAGATGGGAGTTCTGGAAACAGTATTATTTCATATTTCTGATACTTTGAAGCAAAAAACCAAGTAAACTCCTGTTGGCTAAGTTTTCCAAAATTCTTACAGGAGGCACAAATTATAGGTTGGCCAACTCTTACCCAAGAGGATAGTTTGGGAAATAATTGTTTTTATGTCACTGTGTATTTTCTTTTAGCCAAATGTGGTTGTCTCTGGATTTGAACTCTTTGCTGTTTTGTTCTGTGCTCTATTAGCTCGGGGCAGCAGAGAGGTTGGGAAGGGCTGTGCCCCACGGGCTCCCTACTGTAAGGGTATCATAGGGTTCAGCCACTTAAAAATGGAGTCTCAGGGGCAGTAGTTGCAATGGGCTTAGATGAACTGACTTGGGATGACATGGGTTGCTGTTCAAACGGGAGCATGGCTGCTTCAGATGGGGCCGTGCAGTTTGCCTGACCTACAGGATGGCAAGGAGTCGGGTAAGAGGATAAAGTGGTGCTCGTTCAGGATTCAGGGTGATGATGTCAGCTGTGAGCTGTCTCCTGCCGGAGCTTTGCCAGGGCTCCCGTTAGTCACACCTGTGTGGTCAGCTTATCCCCACTGGACTGTGCCGTCTGGCAGCTGCTGTTGTCAGTGTCCAGACAGCCTCTCCCATGCTCTGTGTGCACAGGAAGTTTGATTCCCTGTGGGGTTTGTCTCAGCGTTGCCTGTAGAGCTGGGTGCTGAGCTGGGGGGGTACCTCCTCCCTACAGCCTGGCGGTTGCAGCATCAGCAAGTCAGCATGAACTCCCTGGAGGGGGAGGCACCTTTTCTCCTGTTCCCTACATGGGATTGGTACAGATAGCACATGGCTTGGAGTCTGGACCACCAGCAGCTGTCACTGACCTGCTGCCGGGGCCGCCTCTGCCTGCCTCCAAGGTCGCCAGTAAGCATGTGCTCTGCTGTCCAACCTTTTCCAATCTGGCCCTGCACCACAACCTCCCTCCTCATGCTGTTTCAAACCAAGCATGATATAGACAGTGCCTACGCTGAAGGGCACAGGGACACTGGGATGCAGTGCCTCGAGAACATGCATAGGCTCCATTGTGAGCTGGCACCAAGAGTCCTTCTGTGCTCACAGATGCTTCCTTCACAACTAAGTGTGTGAGGCCTGTTGTGTTCAGCTGATTTACTTTGCCTCTGGGAAGCGTCTGGAGCTGAGACCTCGTTCCTCCTCCTGTTCACTGGGCCCCATCTGGGCAGAGCTGCCCACACAGTGCTTTGCACAGCCTGTGGTTTCGGTTGGCCACAAGGATTTTGTCTGTCTTGTTTTTAAAAAGTACTAAATTGCCAGTGCACTCCCTTTCAAGACAGGTTCCTAAGTGTGGACAATTAATGCCACACTCACGGCACACTGTGACTTAGTCATGCACTTAGTGACCGGCAGGTCTTAAAAACTCCCTCAAGAGTTGAGACTCTGACATATAGACAAGAGAAAGGCCCTTTTTTTTTCCTTAAAGAACTTTGGTAGAACACAATAGAGGTAATTACAGCTTAACTTTACGGGATGTTTCTGTGACAGGTTGGGTGACTATGTTGAGTGTGCGCTGGGCAGTGCTGTCACGCTCTTTGGTGTCCAGCCGCCTGGCGAGGAGCCGTCAGGTGGAGCATTTGCAGGGCTTGCCATAATTACAAGATTGTGATGTGGCGCTGTTGCGTAACTCAAGGACACACCATTGTCGCCTACCCACTAGGGTGTCGCAAGAACAAGATTTGTGAGTTTTGCTCCAATTGAACTTTTCTAGTGATTGACTGCCACTCCCTCCCAGACTTTCGGTTCTTTAAAATGAAGGATAAACTTCAGGACAACCATGACCTAGGGATAAAGATAGTTTTCTGGAATATAATTTGGAGTGGATCTGAAAGACAGCCAGGGACTCTTTCTAGTTCTAGCGAGACCCTAACCCAGTGGTGTTGCTCTCAACAGCAGACACACACAGCCTGACAATTTGCCTACCTCATTTACCTTTAAGAAACCAGTCTGAAACACTGGAAGGCCCTTGTTAATGCAAATAAAGATTAGAGCAAAATAGATTTTGCTTAAATGAAGTCTGACTTTGGTCATATTTGGCCAATAAATAGGTCGTTCTCATACGGATAGGTGACTTTCATATAAGGAAAAGCCCCTGTGTATGCATGTCTGTTGTGTGTATATGAAACCTTAACAACCAAACAGAAACTTAACCTTTCAAAGTTTTGCTTTTGTAAGCTTATGTCGAAACAGTACTTACTTTAAACTTTAAAAGTTTTAAAAATTAAAATAGAAGTTAAAATCAGCACC